ATATTAATCAAAAATACCCAATAAATGGAACGTGTAATAGAAAATCTGATCCAGAAAACAGGGGCAAAAGACGCGAAGAAATAACCCAATTAGATCTTAGCAAAGGAAAAACTGGCGGCGAAAACTTATTTAATGGCGAACCCAAAAACCTATTTGGTGACTTAAAAGAATTATATACAAAAAGGAAAAAACTAAGAAAATTGCAAATTGAATTGTCTCTGAAGCTTAAAGATAGTTTAGCAAATGTCTTAACTAAATATTTTTTTAAAAACCATAGAATGATCGTAGAAGGAAAAGATGTTATGGGTTATTATAGCAAAAACTTAACCGATTTAAGAAATGGGTTGGGATCAGATACAGAAGGTCATAAAATACTTGATCAAATACTGTCTGTGCAAAAGGAAATAATTGATCTGGAAAAAGAATTAGAATCTACGACGACACCACAAGTTGAATTACCTCCGCCTTATAATTATGCTATTCAAATAGCTCATCAAAAAATAAACAGCATTGAGACCCTCGACCGCATCAGATATTCTGCGCACATTGTTACCATTAATGATGAGTCCAAGACTTGTAATAGCATAGATGGTATGAAACTAGATAATAGATTAGAAGTTCGGAATAACGTCTCTGAGAGCATTGAGACCCTCGACCGCATCAGATATTCTGCGCATGTTACTATTAATGATGAGTCCAAGACTTGTAATAACATAGACGGTATGAAACTAGGTAATAGATCAGAAATTCGGAATAACGTCTCTGAGTACATATCAGTATATTCAACTATTTTTCAAGGGCCTTCTGACATCGCAATTACTGAAGCTGAACGATTATTCTCACTACTTAAAAACCAGAAAGATAAAATTGATAACATTTTGGATTCACATGCTGTATATGCAGTGGGTCCCAAATTTCAGAATGATTATTCCATGCCTTATATTGCTTGTTGGGTTGCTAACCCTCTTACGGTATCAATTATGGAAAAAATTTCAGGTTTGTTTAATCATGAATTTGAAGTTGCTTATCATTTAGTGAAGGTCAATGGTAACGATGGGGGACCAAAAAATACATCAATTGCGAGTGGTAACATAAGTGGTGAGTTTTCAATAACTAATAGTGATGCAGTCGAACGTGAAGGAAATGATGAAAACAGTGATGATAATGATGATGATAGCGAATATCATGATGCTGACAGTGGTGAAGACGATAAAACCGAAGATGGTGGTGATGAAGACGGTGGTGATGACGGTGGTGATAGCGATGATGACGGTGATGATAATGACGGTGAGAGTGACGACGAGGTTGACGGTAAAATTTTAATTTCTTCGGAAGGTAAAGTCGAATTTGAGGATAGAAAATTAATTGAAATTAAAAATAGAAAAAAATTTCAAAGCTTTAACATTACTATGAAACTCTGGGCAAATGTCAAACCTAATGTTAAAAATAATGCCAACTCAACTTTAGAGTTTGAGATCGACTTAAGTAATTGCGGGGTGACAGATTTTCTCAGTAACCAGTGTCCGTCTTTAAATAAATTCATTTGCTATCATCTCGATTCGTTAGAAATCTGTGCCTCTCCGATTCGGCTAAAGTCCGATGATACATGTATTATTATTCAAAAGAAAAAACATAATCCACATAAAGCTAATAATAATATAACTTCTACAAAAGTTCATGAAAAAGACTGTTCCCTAAGTTCCAAAGCAACTTTTGCCATTGGCAAAAAGAAAAGTCGAAGTTCAACAGCAACAACAAAAGAATGGACCATGAGGGATGAATTTAGTGAAACTACTGGAAACAAATGGTCATATAGTTTTACTGATAGCGATGTATATGATACTTTAGACAATAGACTTAGCATTAATACGGATTTACATAAGGGTCATTGGTACGTCAAGAATAAAGTAAAAGGATTTCGTATAACCATTACGCAGGTAATGGGTAGCACCAATAAACGTAACGTTTATAAATACCTATATGCAACACCAAAGTTGATAAAAGAATATCCCCGAATTGTTCACCAACTCGAGATTTCTTTTACAAATATAGAAAAGCTTAATTCTGACTTTAAAAAACATGCAAAAAAAGAGTATCACGATGGAGGGGAAGCAATTACTGTTACCTCAAAAAACAACAACCAACCTCTGAAAGAAAATGGTGATGAGTTCATTAAACGTAAATTATTCCAGAAATAAAATAGATATTTTATAAATCTATGAGAAACGAATGTGAGTGCCTGGCAACTCACATTCCATAAAATAAAACTTCATTTTATATATGTTATATACTCTTTAATTGTATCATTTTTTATAAAATAAATAAATGGCTGTAGGTTTTCATTTATAGTAGTTGGCGAGTAATGGCGAAGGTAGCAAGCTTTTTATACTTAGGCTGTTTAAAGTTGATTAGATGTTTAACGTCGACATTTTGAACTTAGGCTCGAGGGGGGAAATTTACACACACATATACAGTATATTTGATTAAATCTCATTGGCTAACTTTAATCACAAGATTAATGAAGACTGTCCTGTATTATGATTGGTTTGTTTAACGATCTATAAATCTATTATAAAGATATAAAATAAATGATCGATCATATGGGCTGCCGTCAATAGAAATCAAGCAAATCTACATTTGAAAAAAAATCAATAACTTAACTTTCACAGCTTATATCTCGGTGAATTTTAAGGCTAGCTTGATGCCTTAATATTCAAAAGGAAGCTTACAATCTAAGTTTTCCTTTGAATATTAAAACATCAAGTTAGCTTTAAAATTCACCGAGATATGAGCTGTGAAAGTTAAGGTATTGATTTTTTTTCAAATGTAGATTTGCTTGATTTCTATTGACGGCAGCCTATATGAAAATCAAAAAAATTTGATCGATCACTATCTTTACTATTACTAGGCATGAGCATATTATGTTTATAAGCTGCATCATCAATTTTTTATTACTTTACTTTGTACAATATCCGATTTTAATCATTCTACTAAGAAAACAAATTAAAAATTTAATAAATTACAACAAAAATACTATTTATGACAGAAATAATGATTAGCATTACTCAATATTTTCTTTGCTTGTAATTTTTTAATTTCAAAGTAAAATATACTGCACTCTGAAAGGTTCAGATGATTTGTTCAAATTATAGCAGCTTTATAATCATCAGGATCTGAATCAAAAAGATTTTTTTGAATAAGTTAAAAAAGCTATAATATTTTTTGAATTTGCCAACAATTAATATCTATTAAATACATTTCAGAGATACTTCTAATTTTCATCTTACTTGTATAATTTACTTTAGAATTATATAAATACATCAATTATCATCATCATTCAATGCATTATTTATTTTTTATTACTTTAATTTGTACAATATCTGATTCTGATAATTTTACTAAAAAAACAAAATTAAAGATTTAATAAATCACAACAAAAATATTATTTATGACAGAAATAATGATTAATATTACCCAATTTTTTATTTATTTGTAACTGTTTATTTTATATCGCACTCTAAAGGGTTTAGATAATTTGTTTGAACTATAATAGCTTTATAATCAGAACTTTAATCAAAAAAAATTTTTGAATAAGATAAAAAGCTATGATATTTTTTAAATTGTTAACAATCAAATATTCATTAAATATCAAAGATACTTCTAATTTTCATTACCTGTATAATTTACTTTAAGCCTACGTGAACTATATAAATATGTCAACTATCATTATTATTTAATGCCACAATCTAAAATTGTATTTTGTGCATCTATTCGAAGGTATATTGAAAGTATAATTTAGTATAAATAAAGAGATATTAGTGAAAAAACTTTACAATCTTTCAATTATAACTATAAAAAAAAGTACTATACATTAGTATTACATAGTATTAAAATCTATTTGGTGATAAAAATAGCAACTAAAGATGTTAATCAACTCAAATTACTTGTATATTTTTTATTATAAAAACTAATTATTTAATTGAGTTGAATGAAGTTAAAAATATAATATATATATATATATAATGATAAATTTATATAAATATACTATACTAGCCTATTGTATACTGTATATATATTTATTTAACAAACTCATATGATCATGGTGCAGTTTTGCATATTATTTTTTAATGCATTATGATATAATACCAAATATTCAAATTTTACACAATTTTTAGGTTAATGTTATTTGACACAAAATCAATATTCAGGTCAAAATTACTTGAAATTTTCATTGTTTAAAAAATGGTGCAATTTACAAAAGCAAACAAACAAGTTTATTATTAAATTTTAACTAAGGCTATACAAAGTAGTATTTTTAGTTCTCATAACATTAAATTTTTATTTTGACCTGCCAACCTGGTTTTTAATTTTTAAATTAAAAAATTTTATTATTTAAAAATATTAGTCTCAAAGTAGTAACCTGGTATCTGGCAAAAAATTTTTATAATAAAAAAATTTTTAGCTAAATATTTAAATTTTAAGTTTTAGCCAATTTGAGTAACTCTATGAAATAAAAAATAGTCTTTCATCTGTTTTACGTACATATACGTACAGTGTTGTAAAAATTCTGTTATTTAACTTACTATTTCTATAATACACAATATGTGGTTAGGGTTGAGATAGTTTGTGCAAACTTTTGTAGAGCTTATACCAGTACAATTATATGCATGTATAATATAAAATATATAGAGAGAGGGGGGTTTTGTTCAACTTTTTTGATATTCACTATGCTGATTTTTGAAGAATCCTTTTTTAAATATAAGTAATAGCTCTAATTTATCCAAATCTAGTAGAAGTTAAGATAATACTAACACAGCTACATATATACATGCTATCATTCTGGTGTAGAAAAAATATGTGTATATAAAAATTAAATCGTTATATCTAGAGATGGGCCATTGCACTGACAAAATTTTTCAGAAGTTCAGAATATTTCAAAATTTAACAATTATAGTTCACATTAGCAGAAAACTGTTTTAATGTAGGCATGTGCAGGCTGAGCATCCTGCATAGTTTGTGCAATAAATTTTGATTTGACCATCTTTTATTATAACTATAAACAAACCTATTCTTATTTTGGAGCATAATATTAGATAGCCTTTTTTAGTAATTAAAAACAGATAATCAATATTTAATAACTTTCAATTACTATCATTATTGTTGATGAGATAAATTTTTTGACAAAAAAAATTTAATTTTTTTATAATGAGTAGCTTGTCATCGAATTGCAAGATCCATGTTTAGATTAACCTTTTATGAACTTTAATGGTTTGCTATTTTGTTCTTGTTAGTTCAGATTTTTCTTGGTTAAGTTTATAATCATTAAGTAGCAAACACAGATTGAATATTAACAAATTACCAGTAGTGCTAAAGTAGAATATTTTTATATAGCTTCAAGTATAAATCAGATTAGTGGAATAGATAAAGAAAGATGTAATATAATATATTTAAGGTTGATATTTTTAGTAAAAATGCTTATTTTACTCTTTGCTATTGCTTGCCTTGCAAGAGGGCTACTCTATTTTCTCTCTCATTCTACCTACAGTATAGTGACCCACAATAAGTTTAAATATTTGATAGTTGACTTGTGTGATAAGATATAATATTATGCAATAGCGTGTAAGGAACTAGTTTTGTTTTAGTTTTTATTTTTGTAATTATGAAGCTCTGTAGCTATTGCAGTAGTATGAGGGTTTTGTTTTTGTAGTAATTAGACTCTGAGGCTGCAGTAGTACAAGGATTTTGTTTTTGTAGTGATTAGGCTCTGGGCTGCATTAGCAGTACAAGGACCTTAATAATTAGACCCCATGGCTGCAGTAGTAGTATAATACCTGGTTTTTGTAGCAATTAGACTGCAGCAGCAGTATAGAAACCTGGTAGTTAGACTTCATAGCTATATTAGTAGTGCAAAGACCTTGTTTTAGACTCTATAGCTATCATAGTAGTGTATGAACCTTTGCTAAATAGGTTGTAGGCTCTATAGCTAAGATAACAGTGCAGTGTATTTAAAAAACCAAGTCACCATAACTTAATTCTGTATATACCTAAGTACTTATATGCATAGCATAACTTTACTGATGCTGATCATACTGGTTTGGCACAGTACCATGTACTGTGCAGCTACCTTATTATATAAACTGAACCAGTTCTAGTAATAATATATTTTTGATTTATAATTGATTTTAAACAGTTTAGCATCCAAATTTAAATGATACCAGTTCTTAATCTATAAATGATTAGCACTATTTAGACTGATTTCATAAATTTTGAAGCACTTAAAAAATTGTAATAACTATCTTATAGTAAAAGCTTATAGTTATTTATATGCTATAGAGTTATAATATATTTACTCATATGTTAGATATAAACTCAAATAATAGTCAAGTGCTATAGAAGCAAAATAGTAATATAGATAAAATTTATATACATATAGCCAATTTTGATTGGTCAATTTTTACTGTGCCTAAAAATTAAAAATTTCTATTTTAGACTTGGTAACCTGGCTAGTTATAAGAACCAAAAATACAAGTTTGTATGGTCTAAATATATTTAATTTTAAAAATTAAAAATGTATTTATGAAAAATATTTTCTGAAAAAAATTTTTTCAGAAATTTGAGATTTTTTAAATTCTTTTTACTACCTCTAACAGGACCCCGAGCTATACATAGATAGGTTAGAATTTATTTTTGCTTATTTTTGACTATTTTTTTGCAGATCTTTACTATTTTTAGTAATATATATGCTTATTTTTGACTATTTTTACGCAGATCTTTTACTTTTTTAGTAATTTGTTAAGATTTTTTAAAAATCTTAGCTGTACATAGATTGCTCGGGGTCTTCCTCTAACCTCCTTTTTTGATTATTTTTTTTTGTACCTTAGTCTTCTCTTTTTTATTATCTATTTTATAAATATTTTGATTACACTTGGCTAAAATATTATTTGATCTATTAGAAAATACTTCAAGATTATTAAATGCATTCACCAACAAAATTTAGAAGTTATTCTGTCAAAGATATAAACTTGTAAAAGCAAAATCACCAGATACTGATATTACTTTTTAGTAATCTTTGGTGGCTTTATTATCATCAGAGCATTATGTTCATCATAGTCATCAGAGTAGCCTTGTTATCATATTCACTAGAAGTGGTATTGTTATTATAATTGTCAAGAGCTCATAAAAAAAATGAATTAGCTAA